CAGAATTCTGGGAGTTGAAGTCCACTCATCTTAAAGTGGCCAAGTTTGGACAACACTGAATTAAAGGGACACAATAGGGTACTGAGGCAGAAGGATGGTATCGTAGAAATGTGTTGATGACTCTGAAGCCCCTGGAGGGTAGAAATGGGAAGAGGCACCATTTCAACCCCAAAACGTTATTCATGCATATGCAAATAGACCATTTCATTTTACAAAGAAGAATTGTGGGTTTATCTATTAATCAGGGACATGAGAAATACTATAAGGTGTCATTAACAAAACAAAACTCTGGTAAAATGAGACCTGCGTCATGGTGCAAATGACACAACAATGTAATGGCATCACAAAGTTTGATGGAAGTACATAAAGGGTATTGTTTGTATGATGATGTCACAAAATGCATGTCATCATTTGCCTCTTCTTGCCTCTCTGTGAACGCCACAAAAAATACAGATTATCCTTCATACACGCACACACTTCAAAGAGAAACATGTTAGCTCCTACACAGCAGAACACTGAGTGCTTGACTCCTTCCCCAATGTAAAGCATGTGACATTAACATGAAAGGTAGATTTAATTGGATGATTCAAAAGCTGGCAGCTTTTGAGCCAAGCCATATTCACACTGTACGCTGCATAATATCAACAAGTTGAATTTCAAATTTCATTTGACATTTTTGACAGTTTCCACATTTTGTGCTGTTGACAAGTGAGGAATGACAGAATGAAATTGCCAAAGCCAGTTTGATTTGTGCTTTGCAAAATGATGGTGCTGCTTCTTCCAACCAAGTGGGGGAAAATCTATTTTCTTTTCTTTTTTTTAATGTAGCTTGTAGCTTTCAACAGTGGCATATGTTCCAGCTGTAAGTATCTAACAGATATGGTAGTTGTTTTCACAGCATAGGTGTACTCCAGAAGCTTATGTGTATATGCAGCCTGAATTTAGGATACTGACCACTTAAGTGCTTGAATTTTCAAAGTACCATAGGGGAGTATGGATACTGTAGTTTAATGCAAAAGTACTAGACTAAAAAGAATGAATTGCACTGCTATTTAGATAGTGATGATAGAGACAGATAGAGATGATAGATGATAGATGACAGAGATAGATTATAGGTAGATGATATAGATGATAGATAGATAGATAGATAGATAGATAGATAGATAGATAGATAGATAGATAGATAGATAGATAGATAGATAGATATAGGTAGACCATAGAGCTTTCAGTAGGGATGCAACAGAATGATACCATGGATTCTCCTGGGGATGAATCTGAGTTCTTTCTTCCCAGTTGAACCATAATGGGATAAATACAAGCAGGAATAAAATCTACCTAGCATCTGTCATCTTTAAAATCTTGGAAGGTAACTGAACTTTTTCTTTGTTTTAGAACAAAAAGGTCTAGATGCTCATAACAATGTGGGGCTCTCCTTGGATGCTGGATTCCTTTTGCAGTGCTTTCTGGAATGATGGCATGACTACACAACACTTTATCAAATGATTATACCAGGAAGGGCTGCAAAGCAGTTGCATAGCCTCTGCAGAGACCTTCCTGCTCCGAGTGTGGAGGGCACTTCTGGCATAACAGGAAAGAAATGAGCCTCCAATCTCCCCTGCCCCTAAACAAACAACAGCTTTTAGGTCCAGATCTCTGGATACACCAGTTTGGCATAGTGGTTGAGGCATCAGGCTAGAAACTAGTCCCATATTAGGCAAAAAGCCAGCTGGGTGACCTTGGGCCAGTCACTATCTCTCAACCCTAGGAAGAAGGCAATGGCAAACCACTTCTGAAAAACTTTGCCAAGAAAAATGCAGGGACTAGTCCAGGCAGTCGCCAGGAGTCCACTGACTTGGAAGGCACAAAAAACCCCAAAACAAACACAAAAATTAAAATCCAGATATAAATCTGGCAGAATCAAAATCTGCCCCATAAAGTTGAAGGTAAAATAGACCAAATTTGGATGGATCTATGCATTTTATAATAATCAAGGGACCCTGTATGGTAGAATATGCAACAACAATTTTACTTCATCTACATTCATTTTGTTTTTGTTTTTTTTTAATTTCTGGGATCCCAGAAATTAAAAACACAAAAATTTTAATTTAACATTTTTAAAACTCTTCTCTATCACCAGACAAACTTGCCTAAGTAAGATATCAGCCTGGACTGGAAGCAATTAATCCAGTTTTGATTAGGAAGAAGATCAGTGTGACAACCCAATTGCAACTCAAATGCAAAACCACTATGTAGGCTATGTAGGTTTAGTAAGTTCTGATTCTTTTTGTACACTTTCTATGTAAAGTAGGGAGTCTTGTCTCTTTTGTGAAGGCAGAACAGAATGAACTGGTTGATTGGTTTGCAAAGGGTTCAGAGAACCAGCTCTCACAAAAACTTAATGCACGAGCAGAAGTTTTATATGCAGAATAGCCAAAGTTTAAAACCTGACATCTCCAGGTACTGTATAAGAAATGTCTCCAGGTATAAGGAAGAAGTCCATCAGTAAAGTGTTGCCATCCATGGCAGGCAGAGATAGAATTAGTAGGTTTCTTGAAGCTTAGCATGTCATATGAATTCAGACAAGTGTGGCTTATCCCAAAGCATGGTTAAAAACATGACTTAGCATTATGTGCAAAGTTAACGGGTAATGGGTTGAGGAGATTCCTACTGTTAGCTATCACTATGTCCTATGTCCCTCTAGTATTTTGATCTGTCTCCGAATCCATTTTAAGTCTCCCAGTTTTCCTATCAGAAATACACAACATAATTATCTTATAATGATTTGAGTTCACCTATTGAGTATTATGAGGTTTACTTGATTTGGTTTAATATGATATGAGAAGTCAGTTTGTAAGACTTGGTTTATGCTTAGTGTAATCTATGATTCTGTTTAATGGTTTATCCAATAAATGTATGAATCGACATACGGTTAGGCTATTAGTTTATCTAGATCCTTTTTGTCTATACTGTCAGTAGCTCTTGAGTTTCAGGCAGGATATTTTTCCAATCTTCTCTGATGATATCAGATATAAAACCAGAGATTTTTTTCATGCCAAAACTGAGCAAGAAAATACCAGAAATAAACTCTTTTTAGTAATCTTAAGGAGGTTACCTTTTCTTCTAACAGAAGTGTGCCAGACCTATTTATACATTTATCCAGCATAATTTTTGTATGGAGATTTTCAAATGGTTTCATAAATTACTTAACAATTTATCAATTTATTGTTGTCTACAGCAGATGGCAGCACCTGGCCAAGGTAAGTAGCATGAGATCTAGTTCATGCCTGAATGGGAAACCACCAGAAAATTCCAGGGCTGTGGGATAGATTGGAAAATAAACACACACATACACACACACACACACACAAACACACATCCCTTAAAAGGAGGCAACAGTAAATCACTTCTGCATTCTTGCAAGAAAACATGCACATGAAGTAACTAGGGTTGAACTCAATTTAAGGGAGACTTTTTTTTTTTTTTTACTAACCATGTTTAGTATATTACTTCCATTGAGTAAATGACTTTTTTTACCAAAGGAAAGAAGGAGGGAGAGAGGGGGAGAGAGGGGGAAAAAACCCCTATGTTTTGCTAAAAATGAATACAGAAATGTGAAATACATTTTCTTTTTTAAAAAAAGATGTACATAGGATAAATTACTGTGTTCTAATTACCTGTAACAGTTGATGAAGTAAATTATGAGCGACCCAATACTAAACAGGAACACCAGTAGTACCTAAAACAGAAACCTACATATAATTAGTTTGCCCTTTATTTGTCAACTTAATTCAAAACCAGAGGTTTCTAGGGTTTCTAGTTTTTCTAAACTCAGGGCCACATCTGGCATTTGAATGTCATGCTGGATCTCACATTCAAGAACTATTGGGTGGGATAAGTATCAGAACTCTAGCTGATGTCCTCCATTACCACTTCAATATAATTAACATGAAATATAATCCATTGATTATCTCCAGTTGTTTATAACAATTTCTCTTTTTGGTCACCCTTAAACTTTTCAATTAAGTAACAATGTGTGGAATTTTAAGGGGCTACGCCCGAGGTTTTGAGGGGTGCATGGTATTCTGAGGCCTCAGTGTGTGGGCATTTCACTGAAATATGTGAGTGGAGATCTGCATTTTGTTTTTTCATATGAAAATGGCTTTGCATTTCTAGCAGTGAGTGCAGATTGCTGTTTTCAAGCACACAAGCACACACATATTCATTCTTATTTGGCAACTTATGGAAATCTATGAATTGTTAAACTTGCCTGAGAATTAGGAAAGTTGATCACTGGAGTTGAAGACGTGCTTTGTCAACATTTGAGGAAAAGAGCATAAAGAATGCAGACATGTTACAGCCTGCAAGGAGGGAGTTTGAGAGAGAGCCAGTGTGGTGTAGTGGTTAAGGCACCAGGCTAGAAAGCGGGAGACCGTGAGTTCTAGTTCCACCTTAGGCATGGCCAGCTGGGTGACCTTGGGCCAGTCCCTCTCTCTCAGCCCTAGGAAGAAGGTAATGGCAAACCACTTCTGGAAAACCTTGCCAAGAAAACTGCAGGGACTTGTCCAGGAGTTAAAAAAAAAAAAAACTGATTTGAAGGTAGGAAAGCTACATTTGGAATAGCCAGAGGAAAACATACAGGAAATGAGATAGAACTGTTCGAAGGTGTTTATATAACAAATGTCCTTCACTATTAATTACAGTGGATCAATTGTCTAAATTGGCTGGCTTTAAAAGTTAGTCTTTCAGATATTTCATGAGATTCTTTCAGAAGGTGGCAGCAATTGAGTTCCTGAATTGATGACCCTGACAAATCCTTTTTTTATCTACTAACAGTATCACCATTCACCAACTTAATCAATATGTTGATTTCTATTGGTCTGTTGGAAAGCCATTTTGCTATTTCTCTTACAAGAATACTACCTTCCTTTCTGTACAAAATCCTGGCTCATACAAAACTCAGCTTCCTCCTTGATGATTTCTTCCCTTCTCTTGTCTCATCTTATTCTATTTGTTTATATTTTGCTGGACTTCTTTTTTCCTTCATAACTCTACCTTATGATGATCTTTCTCACTGGTTTCCCATTCACTCCTAGGTCAACAGAAGTTTCTCATCATGGGCTTCACAATCAGATGTAGCCTGGGTCTCAATTTCTTTCTGTGTTTCCATCCCTTTCCATGAACTTCACTTATTCAATCCCATTACAAGTGATTAATTGATGATGCACCATCAAGTCCGTATCAGCTCTTAGATATGACAGATAGACCTCATCAAGGATGGTCTGATCACAACCTAGTCCTTTGGGTCTTCTAATGGTGCACCCATTAATTGAGTTTATCCACCTTGCTGCTAGTTATCCTCTTCTTCTCTTTTCTTCCACCTTTCCCAGCTGTCAAGTCCACAAAGTCCAAACCCCAATTCAGAATAATTCTCATGAAACCAGGCCTGGTTCAGATAAACGCTCCTTTATTGTGTGGTACATGCAGCTTGAAACAAAACATTGCTAAAACTAAAGCTTGGGTAAACTTCCCTCTATTTATCCCCCCTCCCCTTGTTGCCCTGGCACCTCAGCTCCTCTTCCCCTGGTGGTGCCCTCTTTCCTCCCTCCCAGGGATACATAGCTCCTTCCTGGCCATCAGGCCACCACCGGCTTTGCCTGCAATCAGGTCCGGCCTAAATTGCCCATATAAG